AGAAGCATATCAGTTTTCAACTAGTCCTAACTGATTTCAGTAATAAAGAATGTAATTTAAAAGGCGGTGTTCTTTTGAGTCATTATCGGACCTCTTCAGGTAATTGAAACCAGTGAGGCCAGAAGCAATTTATCAGGACTTTGAAACGGTCAACGTTCTGCAAACTTTTATAATATGTTATAATTTGAACTCGACGATTTTAGTCAATTTATGGAACATTTGCCGAGCTATTTTTACCTCAAATATGAGTTATTACTGTAATTTTTAAGAAACAACTGCTGTTTCGTAATTTTTAGTGAAAAAGTTTTCTAGTGCTTGCGTGCTATATTTGTCTGGCAGCTGGCTATATCGTGAAGGTAACACGTAATTTTGAAGGGTGGTAATTAATATTAGAAGATTAATTTTAGGAGTGTCTGCATGAAAAAGCTGTTTTATGAATGAACCGTTAATAATAAAGAATTACATTGGATACTCTTTTACTTAAAAATAAAATTTGAAAGGGGTGAATCATTGGATGAGATTCCTTATAGGGAATCAATCAATTCTCATATTAGCGTTATGAAAACGCATTATAAAACACTTTTTACGATTATAAAGTGTTTTCGCAAGGCTTCCTGCAACAAGCCGAAATCTAGGCGGGTAAAGTCGCCGGCAAAAGCTTGTACAAAACTTTACATACGTCCATCGTTTCCCCTTTTCTCCCACACACTTTATAAGATTGGGTTTCCATCAAACGAATGGTCCTCGGCTTGTTCAAAGGCTAATTTATTCTCGTGTTTAATTATAATCTCAGTAGGACCTAAAGGACTTGCCACACTGGATGCGATCTGCGGGCAGCTGGCAGATCTAAGTGAACGCAGCCCACATCATGTATGAACAACAATTTCGGTCTTTATACATTTTGAAGGTACGCTTACTATGGGCCTCATAAGAAGGCTCAAGGTCACCCAAAGGGCGATGGAGCGGACTATGCTCGGAGTTTCCCTGCGTGATCGAATCAGAAATGAAGAGATCCGCAGGAGAACCAAAGTAACCGACATAGCTCGCAGAATTGCTAAAATCAAGTGGCAGTGGGCGGGGCACATAGCTCGTAGAGACGATGGCCGTTGGGGCAGGAAAGTTCTCGAGTGGCGACCACGGGCTGGAAGACGTAGCGTGGGCAGGCCTCCTACTAGGTGGACCGACGATCTGGTAAAGGTCGCGGGAAGAGCCTGGATGCGGGCAGCGCAGGACCGTTCATTGTGGAAAACCTTGGGGGAGGCCTTTGTCCAGCAGTGGACGTCATTTGGCTGAAACATGAACATTTTGAAGGGCAAGGTTGAGGGCACAAGAGCAATGCGCTGGACCGATCAGTGGGCTGAGTGTGAGTTTACATCAAATGCGCTCACTAGTATGAATATTTTAGTTCTTGAACGTTTCCGCTAGGGGCGCTGTACAATCCGTCATACATTTAATGTCATTTTTTGAGTGAGTGCGTTAGATGTAAACTCACATTAAGCCCTCGGGTCAAAACCGCACTCAATAGTCCACTCTACGTGTACAAAAAAGGCTGCAATGTAGGAATGGCGACGGATTGTGAAGTTTGCCACCAAACCATGAGTGACGACCACGACCACTCTGCCAAGAGTGTAGCGACGAAGAAGAAGATACGCAAACAGCACCGCTGACAGATTGCCTTGTGACGACCGCTGATAGATTGTTTTGCTGACCGATCGGTGCTAATAAATCGGTGTGTTTTTTTTAGTGATAACTGTGTTACTTGTACTGCAACCGAAGTAGTATTGCTGTGTTATAGCAGTGCCTCTTGCCCTCCGAGTATCCACGGAAGACCAGCGTCGTGGTGTCCCTTACGACACGATGCTGAGTGGATACCGTTTCGGTGACACGCACATTACCTACTCTCTTTACTTTTGTTAAATATTTTTGATGCTGTTTTGTGTCGCTGAATAAAATATTTTCATTTTCATTTTTTCATTTTTAATGCGGCCAGCATTCACTTTGACTTGACCGCTGCCCGCAGATCGCACCCAGTGTGGCAAGTCCTTAAATGTGGCTTCATTGCATTGCAAATGTGACCGCCAGAGACTAAACCTCCTTGCCTTCCTTGCTCGGATGTAAATAATGAATACAGCCTATTTTGAGTGTTCAAAATTTTGCGTTCGTTTTGGCGTGGCCTTTATTTTGAAAGGCAATTTATGAAAAAGGATTATATTAATTTTTTTAAATATCAATCATTGCATTAGTATCAATAAAAATTGCACTGCCTAATGGCAGTAATGTAGGGTAAGTAGTAAATTTTTAATTTTTATAGTTTTTTCCAATTCCAATGATATTGTTTATTAAAACTCTTTGCCCGCTGGTGGTATAAACTCATTGGAAAATATTATATCAAGAAAAAAGCTTTAAAAAAAGTTAGCCAAATCTAATTTGCTACACTAATTTCAATGCATTTTGGAATAGTGAGCTACCTCTCACTATTCCAAAATGAACCTTAGAAAAGGGATGAAATTGTTGTTGAAAGAGTTGTTCGTAACCCAACATTACTCAGGTTACCTAAGATTATTTTTGTTTTTGTGGGATTAAGGTACTCTCATCGCAAAAACGTGGGCAAACCCGCTGCCAGAAGCTATTTTATTTCAAAATTCGATTCTAAAACACACGTCCGAGTAGATAAAGTCGCTGACACAGTCACGTTGTACATAAAAACGCCATAAATTCTTGATGATGTTATCAATAGAGGCTAGTTCGGTGAGAGGGCTATAAATAGGACGGAATATAAAGAACGAATACTAAAGATAATCAGCATTTCTCTTGCTCCAAAATGAACAAACGTAAAGCCGGATTGTACGTATCTAGTTTTGTAGACCGAGGGCTAGAGCCACCAGAGGTCGTTCTGTAATTAACGAATTACTTTTATAAAAGGGAAATGTTTGCAAATATGATTATTGTTTTTTGCAGCAATCTCAATTAAAAAAAATCTCGGGGCTTTTAACAAACGTTTATTGTAACTATCTCTACAATGATTTAGCAGTTTTCGTCATCTTTTAGTTAAATTGAAAATACATAATTTAATTTTGCGCATTGTTGATTCGTCCTTGCGGATACCTTACCTACACTAGCCCTGTGTTTCTTAAAACATTATACCAATATCTGGGGATGGATGATTCGTTGCCCTTTTAGGCAAAAACATAAAGACTTTAGGTGAAGCTTATACTCCAAAATATAGCTTGTGTGCCAGCTACAATTTACCGTAATCAAGCGAGCAAAACTGCGGGCAAAGTTTAATCTAGTTTTTCTGTTCCATCAATGTTTTGCCAACCAGTCTCCTGGCCTAAAACGAAACCGGTCGAAACCCTGATAACTTCCGGAGCAAGAAATAAGTCGTAGCTTCACTGTTCTCTTATTTTTGTTGGGCTCTCGCTCCTTTGGCTTAGACTGGTATTGGTTCTTTCAGGGGATTATTTTTATTACTAGCTGCTTATTGCTCAAGTGTCCTTTTGATTGTAACTCATCTAAGCTGTTTTCAAAGAACGAAGGGAGATTAAAGGGTTGCGTCCTTTGAATCAGCGAATATCTATACGTATAGTATTTTTAATGATGTGGCAAATTGCAGTTTCACATAGAAGATGTTCGAATGAATAGTATATTCTCGCATCATCATGAAAGAGTTGCCTACTAAAAACATAAATTCTAATTTAAATAGCTTGAAAATAATAGGCAGGCATTACAGGGTTGGATATCGTCGCTATTATTCTCGGTGAACTCATAATAATCGAATCTCACTTCATTATTACGAGTACATTGCCCAAAACAGTTCATATTTATGGAAAAACGGCCATAAACCCGTACCAAGATCAGTTTTCTATAAACTAAACTAACAAGTATAGGTATCATTATTATTATCCTTTTCCACTATTTTAGATTGACATTAAAAAAGTTATCCGATCATAAATCTCGCAATAAAGTAGAGCTCGCTCTCGATGTGAAATATATCAATAAATTGTCTAAGAGCCCTTATAAAGTTGGTTTTTTGCCGTCATGCTATCGTATGATTTATTCCACCAATGAATACAAGTTTGACAGTTAAAGCTAAGCAACTTTTTCATGGAAAAAATGCGTGCCCGCTTTTTTCTCTGATACGACGGCAAAGGGACGGTTTTATTTTATTTTGTGGTCTTTTTGTTTTTAATTCGTTCCAACAAGAGCTATAAATAGAGCATTGACGATTAGAATTACCATACTTGCACATTATTTCAAAATATCGTATTATAATACAGACTATAAAAAAGAAGAATTTAACAAAAAGAAACAAAAACTACGTTGCGTTATTCTCATAACAAAAACAAAATAGAACCAAATACACTTCTAGTATTTAGGTAGATCGAAATCCAGACCTTAATAACTGGAATAGAGCAGGAAATTAGCGCAAACACTCATCTGCACAAAGGAAATAACTGTTTGGCCCGTGCTAGGGGAGAATCACCTGCTAATCCAATAACATACTAAGCTTACACAACGCATGTAAATGAAATGGAAACTTAGATTGGGATAGCATGGTCAAATCAAGAAAATTAAATAAAAAAAGAGAAAATACGTATAGTGTTTTGTTTTTTTATTGTTATTGTACCAGCTGCGTTTCAAAATCAAAATTGGAACGCATCGAACTCAAATTTCGAACACAAATTCTGACAAGATAATAACAATGGGTTGGGAAAAAAAAACGATGAAAGAATAAATGGTACATCTTATTTAAAAAAGGTTTTCGTATGTATCGGAATCGGATAAAGGTTTTCGATTGCAAAATCAGTTAGTCAAACAGTTAAACACCGAACCGACAAATCAAAATATAAGCGTGCGAAATTTGCAACTCAAATCAGTACTGCAGTATAGTGCAGAGTTTTTGTTTGCAGTAGAAAGAAAGCTATTAGCATATTGTATCAGAAGCTCGACCCACTGCAGTGGTTCAAGAACTGAGACCTTTATTGTTGACAACACAGTACCGATCAAATAGCCACTGTAACCGCCGATTTATCCATTAGATATTGTTCCATAATCACTGGATTCTTCCACCTTTGGATTCTTTATTATTATCACTCACACACTTGTTATTATTTTTTGGTATTACTTCATACGCACTAAGGAGCACATAGGATCACATTGTAGGTGTTATTTGGGTGATTATTATATGGTTTGATGGTTATTTTGTAGCGTTTTTGGGAGGGCCGGCGCGCGGCGTTGCGCGGACGGTGCGCGCACACAACTAAATACGACTGAGTTGGTCACCCCGGGCGAACGGGGCAGCCGGCGAATGTTTCAAACGCGTTCCGTTTCACGCTCAGTGTCGGATTGGGTTTCGTTTTGGAGTCAGTTTTTTTTCAAGCGACGCGCTTTTTTAAATTGTTTTTAAGTCGTAGTTACATTGTTTTCAATGTCAGCTGATTATTTGCTTCATTAGTGCACTACCTAGTACAAAATAATAATTGAATCACGCAAATAATTTAATGTTTAAAAGATTTTCTTATCTGTTAAAAACAAGATTTATTTATCTTGTTGTTGTTATTAGTGCTCTTGCGTATATTCTACCTATAAATAATTCGAACTTCTAAATGAAATAATGTAACATTGACATATTTTATTTTATCTAATAATTGAGTACTAAACATTTTGATTTGTTCAAATTATCTTCCACATAAGTATTTATAAACACTGATGTGTACCTTAACCTAATTAAGTCATGTTTCGTAATTTTAAGTTTTTATTTTTTATAATGCGATCAACCTATTAAAATAAATATTAATTACCTACTTTCCTAATTTCAACGAAAAGCTTTTTCGTAATTAAAGGTATCTGCGTGTAACGGAACGTAGCCGAAAAATTGGCAACAGCAACGCCATCTCTCTCACCCCGCTGCCGACGGAACGTGACAGAGCTGTGCGTGTCCAACCCTGTACTACCCTTCCCAATGCAGGGTAACGCGACCAATTTGCACCGACCCCCACGTCTCACCTCCCAAAGTTCTTTGTCATCATACTTTGTATCGAGCCCGCGGGACGGGGGAGGCCAAAACAAATTAGTCGGTTCAAAAATATAGGGCCAGGATTTTAGGGCTAACAAATTAGAAAGGGGGAAAAAACGTTCGAAACGTCAGGTTTATTGACATTTCACTAGGCGATAATTAAGGCTTAGTAAGGGTTCTGAATGTTATCGGCACACCGTTAAATTTTAAAGCCCGGATTTTCGTTTCAATTAGTTCTACCAATTGGTTCGCAAATGGGTTGTAATTTTTATTGGTTTTGTTTTACGAGCGTTTGATAAGTACCTGTCTTTTAGTCGCTTTTGGTAGCTAATTTGATTTGAACGAAAAATAAAATTTAAAGTAGCAAAAATGGACCAAACATAACTACGACATTCCTTTATTTAAAAAAAAAAAGGAAATTGCAAAAAATTACATCACATAACTTTCGCCATAAATACTATCGTCCTCTGTCACCCAATGTATTCACAATTCAGATGAATGTTTGTGTTGTGGTGAACACTCGTAAAATATGCCGAAACCATTTCGAGTACACTCCTGTCAGATAAATAATGAACAAAACCATCAACGTAATGGATGATGGTGTACTAAAGCGGTTACTAACGACACCTACTTGTAACCCTCGATTTCAAGATGGCGGACGCCCATTGACAAGTCAGTTACAAAAGCAAGCGCGGGAGAAGTTAGTTTCAAGCGTCTTGGAAAGATGTCGCTGTTGAGTAAAGCTTCACAAAAGGAAAACCTCTGTAATTGCTTATTTGAAGAAGAAAGTTCGCGCTCATGATGACTAGGTGTTACTGGGGTCATGCAGTGAAATTATTATATGAAAGTAAGACATTACATTAATTCAATGCTATCAAACCTGTAAATGCAGATTGAATTCGCGAATTACTGTGTTTGAGCTCTACCTAATTATTACGGATCATATTAATTGATTTGGTATTCAAGTTTTAGGTTTTTGTGGTAGTAGTGATATTAAAAATAACTAGAGAAAAAAAAATGATTATCATATTTTGAACAAACTAAACATTTTCTTTCATTGAAAAATTAAACAACTGAAATAGAAATAATTTTTAATAATTGACAAAAATCCAATTAAAGTCGAATATTTTATTTCATTAAAAATTAAAATCCGTATAAAAGGGTACATAAATTTCATTGTAACATATCCTTAAACACTATTTACAACTTAATAATAATGTGTATACAAAGCCTATTTATACAAAATACAATTTTTCCTAAAATTGACTGGTATAATAAAACATTGGCATTTCATTTATACGAGATTCAACAAAAATCTCGTTTTCCACCAGGAGCTATAAGAGCGAAGCGATTAGATTATGGATTTCAACTATTCACCGATGAAGAAGATGAAAAAATACGAAGTATATTCAANAAATCCAAACAAAATGGTGAGGCTGTAAAACCTGAACCGAGTGTTGAAAGAAGAAAATAAATAAGGATAAAATTAATATCACAAACAGAATTAAGTAGGCTCTTTAGGCAATGTTACAATCATCATTTGTGACTATTAATTTGTAAACCAACAAGAAAAGTAGTACACTCAGTCACCCATTAGAACAAAATAATTTAAACATTACGTATTTACAATTACCTACCTAAATAAAGCTCGATGGACGGAGAAGACAAACTTAAAAATAAAGGAGGGGTGTGGTTATGAGGTAGTTGTCATTGAACGGCTAATAACTGATATCAGAACTAAAAAAAATGTAAAAAGAATACAATTTACATGAAATGTACCTACAAGACTAAATTAAGACCCTATTCTTCTTTTTTCCTACATTGAAGACAGCATATCGCTATGACGTTGTTATTAAAATTTCTAGCGTAGGATCATCGCATCGCATCTTAAACTAAATTTTAAATTTCACCTCAGGTATTTTGATTTTTTCAAGTTCTTTTAAAATATTCATATTTGTTACAAAATCTCTTATAAGACAAGCGCATAAGGTGCCACCGTGTTTCGCTTGATATGCTGTTGTCTGTACCAGTATTCGTAAATTAAAATTTCGTATATCATTTTTCAAATAATTTTCGAAAAGCTAAGGTCTAACATTATCAGTTTTATTAAAGTAAGGTTCACCTAATCTGTTAGACTACTTCAAAAATAGTTTAACAGTTATTGTGTACCTATCGTGGAAGCCAAAATCTAATTTTCCAGCGAAGAAAATATTCTGACCTCTTCAGCTTGTAGGTTCATTACAAAATTTGTAGGATGAGTAAAGGGATTCGAATGCCGAATACATTCCTGGACTATTTACATTAGGGTTAAGTATCTGAACATAGCTCGTAGTGGAATAGACGCTTATATCTACTGGCTGTATACTGTACAACTGTATACTGTACATAGCGCTTGAGAAGAGTTGAACATTGGGTATTTGGAATGTAAATGATCGTTATTTAGTTCTTTATTATTTTCTAGGTTGACTGAAATTGTCGATTATGGAATTAAAGCTGTATTAAGTTCAACTCTCTTCAAGCGGCTGGGGATAATATATTTATATTTAATGCTATTGCACCTTATCTTTAACTGTGTGGCTAACTCCGTTCGTGTAGCCATTGGCATAGCCGTTCGTTTCACTGGCTTTTGTATATCCATTTGTTAACGCAAAGCCGTTCGCGTTGCTTTTAGCTGTTTCTTGTTCACAAAGATTGGCTTTTATATGGCCATTGGCTTCACCGTTTGCATGACCGTTCATTTTGCTGTGGCCATTGGGGATGGTGTTGTTATTGTCAACGTTGACGGGCTTCTTTTGCTGTCGGTCTTTTTTGTAGGCTTGGATGTAGAAGTTGGTGAAGAGCACGATGAATATCGACGAGTGCAGGATTAGACCCGAGGCGATAAATCTGTAAAAAGAGAAATTGACGTAGAATTAGAATGATATGGTAAAAATGACAAAATTTAAAAATGTTGAGAAATCGGAGTTTTGTAAAACAACAGAGAGTTAAACCAAATGTACCTTTGCGATTTTGACAACCGCCCAATAGTTTCCAACGATACCAGCAAAATAACCACGGGTATTCCCCACGCTAAGTAGTAAAAAAGTAGCACCCATTCATCTCAAACTTTTCAATTTAGTTCTTATTGCTTTATAGTTAACTTTTTTGGTAAAAAAGTATGCTTATTATGAACTAAAAGATTCTCTAAAGAGCCTGCGGCACTTGTTCATAAATAATGTATGGCCTACAAGATTTTTAAGTCGTCGAATGGCATACCTACACTTTCACTACTACTCCTAACGAGATGAACTGGTTGCTTATGCTAACTAATCATTTCGGAATTAATAATTAATACTTTGTGGGCGTTTTCATTATTAATTTTAATAATTTAATAATCACTTCCGTTAAATTGGAAGGTATGTAAGTTATCGCTGTTGTTTATTTTTTAATTAACACCTCCTAGTATTATCAGAGTAAATACAAATGAGTAGGTTATCTTCATAGGAACGCACGGGCGCGGTTTGTATGTGAGCGCGCCAACACGTATGCGGCGCGCACGCACACACTAACAAAATTTAGCGGTGATTAGCGGTGAGGTGCGCCGAATTTTGCCAGTGAGTGCGTGCGCGCCGCATACGTATATTGGCGCGCTCACATACACACCGCGCTCGGTGCGTTTCTATGAAGATGACCTACTCAGTTGTATTTACTTTGGTATTATATCATTAAATTTAGACACTACTAAAGGTCTAACGCTTAACTCAAGTCAGTGAATGTCTTCGTACTATAGGTAACTAAACGCCTCAGTCAGTGCCTGTAGTATGGTGACATTGACATAATTATTATGTCGTGACAGAGTATACAAATCTGAAGTATACCTGCCCCCTTAGACAAAACGCACTTTTTGATCGAATCGAAAATCGAATCCGTCCAAAATCCATACAAAAAAGGGGCTTTTCGACCACTTTGCGACTGGTTTGCGATTATAATTTGCACTTTGTCTAGACCCACTGAAGCATATCTGAAGTCTCGCTGACGTTTGGCGTCCCAAAAATACCCTCCCGTGTCGCTTCCATAACTCAGACAATGACTGACTTAAAAGTGCTAGACCTTAGTTCGACGACAATCCAGCTGATTTTAGACTAGGAAGGTGGTTGCTTTTTCCTCGGTCCAATAAAAGTCAAGTCTATGATTTATGTTTCATTCATGTCATGCATCAGAGCTAGGGTTTCTGATTTCTCGACCTATTTTTTTTCTCGAGTTTCGAGAATTCTCGAGGCCAAAGTCTCGACTTTTCTCGGGTCTCGAGTCTTTTAATGAAAACTGCTGCAGTCGGTTGAAATTTAATAAAAACACAGGTTTTTTTAATCTAATATACCTACTTTTATGCACAACAATCAATATTAGAATTTAGTACCACTTATTTTGGTAAGGAAATAAACAAAAAATAAAATCTTCTTCCATAATTAATATTTACTAATAATCATAACAAAAGTCATAAAGTCGCGTGTACTTTAAGGATAAATAACAATAAAAATCTGGAGCTACAATTGAATCACTTGTTTTCTAAAGAACACTAGTACAAATAGCAAAATTACGATAAATAAATAAAAATAAAAATTTTTTTTTTACTTTAGTCGATACTACGCTTCTACGCAATCTATGCACATGTCGTGGCTGCTTTTAATTAAGGCTACACTATAAACACGTATTGTTTTCAATGTTTTTTCCAGTTAATTGTGTATGTCTTGTTAGCTGTCCTTAAATAAATAAATAAATAGTTTCTTTTTAATAAATTTTTAAATTTCTTACAGATAACGACTTGAATAAACTTTACGAGGAGGCACGAGTACCTAACCTAACGTCTGTTAGGTAAGGTAACTGTCTAGTTAACAAATTTTTCAGTCCTTAAATCAGTCAGATTAAACATACAACAATAAATATAACATACTCGTTGGTGAAAATTATTACTTAGTTTCGATTGAGATCATTACTTACAAATCAAATCAGTTAAAAAAGGAAAGACTAGGCCAGTCTAAAAGCAACGTTGACCTATTAAATAATAAAAAAACTTACTTTTGTCTAAGAAAATAGGCTTTCAAGAATATTAAAGGTTCAAAATCGAAACTCGAGAATTCTCGAGCTCCGGTAATTTTTTTCTCGTCTCGAATGAAGCCAAATTTCTCGAGTTTTCTCGAGTTCGAGAAAGCTCGAGCAGAAACCCTAATCAGAGCTAATACAGACACTGTATTAATAAAATTAAATGTTCTCATCCTATTCGATGTTTGTAATTTTACTATTGCAACAATAAGGCCCTTTAGAGGACAACCAATTTCGTTATCAACGATCGCAACGATATTAGCGTTCGCCTTGACTGCGCTCGATTCGTTGCATAGTTAGCTGCAACGATTGCAATCTGGAGCTTTTGTAACTATTGGGTCTCTTATTGTTGTATTTTTTTTACTTTTCGTAAATAGACGACACCGACATCTGCTGATGTTACTAAAGCGTGAAGTTCGATGACTTATTTTACTACAGTAACTTTTTGTTAAATGACACAACTACACAACTAATAGTTTTGTTTACAATGATACTAGTGGGCGACGATTTCACTGATCAATTAATAACTTAAGAAATTTTGACTCTAAAGAAAACTGGTCTCATAGTTGTGCCCTGTGGTATGCTGTTTCAGCTTATGCGTAAGAAACGTAATATTATAGAAAGGACTAGCTAGTTCTAAAACAGAATTGATACTTACTTTGGGTATCCACAGTCGTAGACGAGGGCACTAATAGAGTGGAAGAGTACCATGAAGAATTGGACCTGAAAAGAAAGAAAAGTAAAAACATTAATATACTGAATGCTTCAGCTTGATCTAATTTCATTGATTGCCTGAAAAGAGTTTAAGATGAAAATGCGTTCCAGTATTTTCAATTTGTACCAAAATATATCAATTCTTTTGAACAACATCACGCATAGCAATGTAAAAAGGAGACCGCCTTAAAGTATTATAATTATAAAAATTTTCAAAATCAATTTATTTGGAGACTACCGTATCCATTAAATGTTTTGCAATTTCAAGTGTAATATGTGATACATAGCAACGGGTTTGCTCATTATTTTTTATTCTATCTCAAAATCGTGGTTAGGCAGCAGCCGACGTATTGTGGACATTCAAAACTTTCTAAATGTATATTTTCGCAGCCATGGCAAACATTAATGGTTTTTTGCAATGCCCAGCAGAATAGCTAGAGAAAGTTTTATAGAGAAACTGTTTGCCCTTCAATATGTAATAATTCCTGACATTTGTAGAAAAAGTTTTTTTGGAACGCTTTTTACGTGGCCCAAATTTATTTAAGGTAGAACATTATTTAAAACCATTCACATTTAAAGTTTCCAAAGATACATAATTACGAACTCCTAGGTTTTAGATTTTCGCGTTCCATTTCAATTTCTGCTCACGGCTGTAGCATAGCGGCCGAAACGTCAAGCAGTTAATAAAAAATCTCGCGTTGAGACCCGTGTTTCTCTATTTTAACTTCCAGTTTCTTTTACATAGATTAAAATATTAGGATAATTTTTCTATCCATCCGTGTAAAACAATTAAATAATAATATACTTTTTGTTGGACTGGCGTACATTCCTACGCTGAAAATGCCACAAAGTGTGTTTTGACTGATATGGTCGTTTGAACAGACTCGTGTGGTACTTAGGCACACTAGTTGTCATGTACCAGTATGTTTCTAGTCTGACTAGGCTGTAAAAGTTGAAAAGGCGAGCGGTCAATGCATTCAAGGAGTGCGTAACTGCGCCACTGACGAATGCGCGCTGGATTGACGGCTGTACGTACATGCACAGAACACACTATTAAAATGAATACTTATAGTTTTGATAGCTTAAATTGGGATTTGACTAATTTCTAGGAAGATATCTAGGGACTCTAGTGCCCGTTTTCACCATCAATCCGTAATTTTTAAGTGACCCTTAAGGTAACACATAACAGGAATTTTGTTTTCATAGGGGTCACTTAGAAATTAGGGATTGATGGTAAAACCGGGTATAGGTGCCCTAGAAAAAAACCAAAACCTATGCGGTTTTAACCTGGAAAAAGACTATCGATCAAATGCATGCGTGCATGCATTTTGAAATTGCTCGCAAATATTTGTCTGTAATTTTTTATCCAGTAGTTTCATAACATAACCTTTCTTCTGGCGCAGTCGGGTAAATAAGCGCTTTAAGGACGCTTTATGCATCTTTTTATGCGGAGAAATTTAAATAGGTTTCATAATAAAAGTTATTCAAAATTCCGATATCCGATAGATCCGATCTCTTTGAAAATTTGATATGTTGTGTGTGGGCAGCCTATGGACATTGCGCCGCGCCTAGAACGGATCGGCGCTTGCGCAAGCTTAGGATATGCGGCCAGAGGCTGACGCAGAGGAAACGTTCATTTCCAAGATTTTTGCGACTGTCTAAACTAGTTTTTAACTTATGCCTAAAAGTACAAGCGACATGCCTGTTAGGTTTAAAAACAGTTATATCATTTTATTTATCAATAAGAATGTGTTTATTTCAAAGTCTATAATTATTGTTTAAATGATAGATCTGTTGCAAACACTGAATGTGGGCATTTTTCCAAAAGAAAAAGTCTGATTTTTCTTATGCATGTTTTTACTTCTATGATGTTATTATAAATTGATCTCGAATTTTAATATAAATTCCTATAACCTGGGTGTTTTTAAGACTCAAGTCAATTACCTAGGTATTGTCCGAGAAAGCATGTCGCATCTTAGATCATCATTTAATATCAAGCAAGATTGTATTATTGATTGTAAAAAACAAACGCATTACTTGCACGTTAAAAAAAAATAAAAGAGTATGACATAGTACCAAGAATATTATGTAAAGGATAAAAAAACATCTAAACAAACAACTAAAATCCTTCACCCATTTGAGTTTCCGCTACTATTCTACAGAAGTACAGAGGGATCAGCTAACTAGTTCAATGGTAATCGTAATACTCAGCAGTAATTAAACAAGTCCTGCCTTGTTTCGACATCAGCAGCGGAACGGCATATCCTTTCCCCGCCACGTTCCGTTTCATGCACTTAGATTTAAATACCACTTGTAGACAAAGTACTGATCGGGAGGATACGAATTACTCGTACATAGTTTGATAGGTTAGACACTACATTTAAATTTTTATAGACTGTGCCAAATAATACTGCTTTATAAATGAAGTAACTAGCGGCCGCCCGTGACTTAGTACGCGTGGACCCCTTTTTGAATCTCTTCTTAGTGAGCACCTGTGTTCTAAACTAAACCCCCATGCAAAATTTGAGTAGTTTCTGAGATTTCGTGATGAGTAAGTCAGTCAGTGACCTTTGTAGATTAAGATAATACCTAAGATGATAAAAGTCATCTCAAACCGAGTCCAAACCGTCTCAATGCTATAAAGTTGGATAACATCGAAGTCCCAGGTAGGTACCTATGACATTGATACGGGACTATTCCCACCTCTCGATCCCACCACTGCAACTCCTGTGTAGCCAGGATCTACAGCTTGACCGCCATAAAAACCCAACCAATGAAGGTCAAGTTTGTCCCGGGGGAAAGATAAACTGTCATTGGACCCGCAACGAAATTAATCAGAAGAACATAGGAGGAGTTCGAAATTAAGGTTCAACTTCCCTCCTTTGCAAAGCGGATGACAGGTGACAAACAAAGGTTTGATGACATTGACCTATGCGTCTGAAGCAGGCGGTCTTACCACTAGACCACAGAGGCGGTTATATTTACGGGCGCTACTAATGCTGGACTGCTAACTTTTGATTTTTGCCCCTTAACGTTTCAGAGTAGTTTGATTATAACATTGCTTCGCTTCAGTGTTAAAGACAGCTCGCTGTCCAAGGTATTCACCTGTACGATATCTTAGAAACCTAAACTGATATTTAACAACCTATACTCGTAAATATAATAGTCATGTTTTCCATTTTACTATATTTTAATTTACCGACAGTAATTTTAGTATCTCAGTCGTAATTCGTCACTATCTTGCCAATCAGCTTCATGGAACAGCTTAGAGATTTTGTCTCTGCCGGTAATTATTTAAGTAACAATTAATCAGAGCGTGGAGGCAATGGATTTAGCACTTAGTCTGTGGCTTAAGGTTGTCCGCTTACGATGGGAGAGCTGATGCATTTCTTAGGCTGGGTTGCACCATCTTACTTTGACTGTAACAAACGTCAAAAATCTGTCAAATACCATACAAAAATCACCGGTTATTTGGTGGTGCAACTCAGCCTTAGTCAATTAGCCTTTTCTTTCTGTTCTTATCTTTGGTGTGCAATAAAGTGTATTTATTATTTATTATTTTTATTATTCGTTTCAGCCAAATGACGTTCACTGCTGGTCGAAGTAATTTGGCCATACAGCGTGGACATGCAACCANGAACGGGTTTGCTCATTATTTTTTATTCTATCTCAAAATCGTGGTTAGGCAGCAGCCGACGTATTGTGGACATTCAAATTTACTTTCTAAATGTATATTTTCGCAGCCATGGCAAACATTAATCGTTTTTTGCAATGCCCAGCAGAATAGCCAGAGAAAGTTTTATAGAGAAACTGTTTGCCCTTCAATATGTAATAATTCCTGACATTTGTAGAAAAAGTTTTTTTGGAACACTTTTTACGTGGCCTAAATTTATGTAATGTAGAACATTATTTAAAACCATTCACGTTTAAAGTTTCCAAGGATACATAATTACGAACTTCTAACCTAAAGGCTTCTAACGGCTGTAGCATAGCGGCCGAAACGTCAAGCGTCAATAAAAAATGTCGCGTTGAGATCCGTGTCTCACTATTTTAACTTCCAGTTTCTTTTACATAGATTAAAATATTAGGATAATTTTTCTATCCATCCGTGTAAAACAATTAAATAATGATATACTTTTTGTTGGACTGGCGTAATTCCTACGCTGAAAATGCCACAAAGTGTGTTTTGACTGATATGGTCGTTTGAACAGACACGCGTCGTACATAGGCACACTAGTTGTCATATACCAGTATGTTTCTAGTCTGACTGGGCTGTAAAAGTTGAAAAGGCGAGCGGTCAATGCATTCGAGGAGTGCGTAACTGCGCCACTGACGCATTCGCGCTAGACTGACGGCTGTCCGTACATGCACAGAACACACTATTAAAGTGAATACATATATATGTAGTTTTGATCGCTTAAATTGGGACTTGATTAATTTCCAGGGAGAATTATATCTAGGGACTCTAGTAGGCCTAGGATACACGCCGCGATAAGCGGTTATTACGCCATTTTATCGATTTTGTCCATACATTTTGACGTCGATAAGAGTATTGTCACGACGCACATCCTAGCTCGGCAGGTGTCCTAGAGTAAAACCAAAACCTATGCGGTTGGAGCCGTGGAAAAAGACTATTGTGCAAATGTATGTACGTATGTATGCGTTTCACTATTGTCTGTAGTTCTCTATACAGTAGTTCTAAAATGTTTTAGTTCTGTAAAGTTAGGACTTGATAATGTTAAAAACATAACCCTAATTCTGGCGCAGTGGAGTTAAAATTAAAATCACACTTTATGTATCTTCTTAGGAGGAGAAATTTGAATAACTTTCATAATAAAAGGTATTCAAAATTCCGATATCCGATAGATCCGATCTCTTTGAAAATTTGATATGTTGTGTGTAGTTCTAAAATGTTTTAGTTCTGTAAAGTTAGGACTTGATAATGTTAAAAACATAACCCTAATTCTGGCGCAGTGGAGTTAAAATTAAAATCACACTTTATGTATCTTCTTAGGAGGAGAAATTATAATAATAAAAGGTATTCAAAATTCCGATATCCGATAGATCCCATCTCTTTGAAAATTTGATATGTTGTGTGTAGGCAGCCTATAGACATTGCGCCGCGCCTAGAACGGATCGGCGCTTGCGCAAGCGTAGGATATGCGGCCAGAGGCTGACGCAGAGGAAACGTTCATTTCCAAGATTTTTGCGACTGTCTATACCGTTTTTAACTCATGCCTAAAAGTAAGCGACGTGCCTGTTAGGTTTAAAAACAGTTGTTATATCATTTTCTTTATCAATGTGTTTTTTTATTACAAAGTCCATAATTATTGTTTAAATGATAGATCGGTTGCAAACACCGAATGTGGGCATTTTTCCAAAAGGAAAAGTATGATTTTTCGTATGCATGTTTTGATTTATATGATGTTATTATAAATTGATCTCGAATGTTAATATAAATTCCTATAACCTGGGTGTTTTTAAGACTCAAGTGAATTACCTAGGTATTGTCCGAGAAAGCATGTCGCATCTTAGATCATCATTTAATATCAAGCAAGATTGTATTATTGATTGTAAAACACAAACGCATTACTTGCACGTTAAAAAAAAGCGTATGACATAGTACCAAGAATGTAATGTAAAGGATAAACAAACATCTAAACAAACAACTAAAAGCCTTCACTCATTTGAGTTTCCTCTACTATACTACAGAACTACAGAGGGATCAGCTAACTAGTTCAATGGTAATCGTAATACTCAGCAGTAATTAAACAAGTCCTGCCTTGTTTCGACATCAGCAGCGGAACGGCATATCCTTTCCCCGCCACGTTCCGTTTCATGCACTTAGATTTAAATACCACTTGTAGACAAAGTACTGATCGGGAGGATACGAATTACTCGTACATAGTTTGATAGGTTAGACGCTACATTTACGCTCATAAATGCCAAATCTAGCCGCAATCGAATAAAATGTTTAAATATAGTCTGTACCAAATAATACTGCTTTATAATAAATATAAGTTACTAGCGGCTGCCCGCGACTTCGTAAGCGTGAACCCCTTTTTGCTTCCTTAGGGGTCAAATTTGAAAAATCTCGTCATAATGAGCACCTATGTTCTAAAATAAAACCCCATGCAAAATTTGAGACTACTAGGTCTCGTAGTTTCTGAGATTTCGTGATGAGAGAGACAGTCAGTGGTCTTTCGTAGATTAAGATAGTACCTAAGATGATAAAAGTCATTTCAAACCGAGTTCAAACCGTCTCAGTGCTATAAAGTTGGTTATCATCGAAGTTCCAGTATGAAATTGATAGGTCGTTACTAGGTTATCAGTTCCAATTTTTGCCATGTTGCACAACACTGAAATGTCCCACATAATTAGGTATGACATTTACAGGATGGATGATAAATGCTGCATTATTTTTCTTCTTTTTCGTCGCTACACTCTTGCCAGAGTGGTCGAGGTCACTTGCCACCGAACCGTCATACCCGGTCCGGTGGCAAGCCTCACAATCCGTCGCCATTCCTCCCGCACTGCAGCCTTTCTTGTGCACCACGAGTGCGGTTTAAGTGCGGTGCTGGATTATTACTTTAGATTTTTGCCACTTGACGTTTCAGAGTCGTTTGATTATAACATTGCTTCGCTTCAGTGTTAAAGACAGCTCGCTGTCCAAGGTATTCACCTGTAAGATGTCTTAGAAACCTAAACTGATATTTAACAACCTATACTCGTAAATATAATAGTCATGTTTTCCATTTTACTTTATTTTAATTTACCGACAGTAATTTTAGTATCTCAGTCGTAATTCGTCACTATCTTGCCAATCAGCTTCATGGAACAGCTCAGAGATTTTGTCTCTGCCGGTAATTGTTTAAGTAACAATTAATCAGAGCGTGGAGGCAATGGATTTAGCACTTAGTATGTGGCTTTAGGCTGTCCGCTTACGATGGGAGAGCTGATGCATTTCTTAGGCTGGGTTGCACCATCTTACTTTGACTGTAACAAACGTCAAAAATATGTCAAATACCATACAAAAATCACCGGTTATTTGGTGGTGCAACTCAGCCTTAGTCAATTAGCCTTTTCTTTCTGTTCTTATCTTTGGTGTGCAATAAAGTGTATTTATTATTTATTATTATTATTATTCGTTCGTTTCAGCCAAATGACGTTCACTGCTGGGCGAAGTAATTTGGCCATACAGCGTGGACATGCAACCAGTATTTTGGGAACTATGTCGCATTGTTTAGACAGCGATTTAAGACTTAATTTTTATTTATTATGTGAATAGTATTCTTTTCTTCATCCAATATTTTATTACTTTTCATTTTAAAAACCTAGAAATTCTTAGAACTAGTCCCTCGCTCTCCTAATACACAGTTTTACTGGTAATTTAAGGTGTAAAGTTTTAGCAGGCTCTTTAAGTCTCGTGTATAAGTAGCTTTAGTAGAGACGCGATACTTTATTAATACTCACTGCTTAATGTAAACATTAAATACGTTATCTGACCTAAAATTAGTACTTTAGTGAGTGCCAACGTTTAATATTAATTGGTGTCTAATTAAAAATCTAGTTTATTACTTTCTAACCTTTTTTCNATTTTTGCACGGTAGGTAATTATGAAGTGTCTAGTTTAATTTGAAAATAAACAACGATACTAGTATTCTACTGTACATCGACGTTTTACTATATCGTAATCGTGTAAAACAGATTACGATAATTTTTATACATGTGTATAATTATCTAAGTATGTATAATTACTTATAGTATTATCTATGTTTCTTTATTACTTCCATTCTAAAAGTCGATGGATATCAGGTTAATTACGTTATTTCAAGGTTTACACGGTTTCTTATTTAGGCTATATCTTTATACTGAAAAATAATAACTTCAAAATAATTTATTGACTATCTGGTTGAAAAATCTTCTGTCGATAAAAGTTTAAAAAATACTTCATGAAATATCTATCCTCAGTGGTATCCTTCCGTTTGGCCAAATTACTTTTCGCCAAATTTCACTTCGCAAACAACTTATCGCCAAAGTTTCATTTCCCAAATGAACTTTTAGCAACTGTACTTTTCGCAACTAATTCATTTGGTCAAATTATCATTTGGCAAAATTTTACTTGGCAAATGTTTATATTGCAAATCTTTTATAATGCCAAATATTATATCCCAAATAATTTGTTTGGTCAAATTGACACTTCACATAATTACCCACCGTTACCCACAAATCAAAGCATAAGGTACATGATCATGGTTTTCACAAGAATTTTATGTAAAACAAAGAAATTGCATAAAATAGTATGGTTGCAAAAAGTAGGTATTGCAGAAAATAGTAGGTTAGGTTAGGTTAGAACAGTGACCCTTAATGCGCGAAGACCTCTAGTAAATAGGCTAGTTTCCTAAAAAAATTTTTTTAGTCCATCATGTTTAATATCAAAAAATATTGGACACATATATTTTTATTTGTCAATCTAACAAATAATTACATAGTTATGGTGCGTTGAAGTTCCGCACGACGTCACAACGTGCGGCACTTTTATCCACGCATTGTCGTCACGGGCCTCTTCTTATGAACTTTGGCGCGCTTTATCTCTTTAAATTTTCATTAGTTTGAAAAAGTGAAAAATACGTGTAGAGTATTTTTTGAAAAGTTAACTGACGGACTAATTATAACTCTTGCTTTTTGACCCAGGCAACATCCCTATTAGAGAGGGTCGTGTTCCTGCAGTGGAAACTAAATGAACTGATGATGGATTACTAATGTTTGGCCAAAAAACGTTTCCCAAATTGAGGTAAATGGAGGATTTGGCCTACACTCCCCACGCTGGCCAGACGGATTGGAGGCTTTTGTTTATTTCAATATTTTTTTAAGTATTTGTAAGCAAAATCTATAAGTGACTCGAGTATGCTTTTTGTCATTTTACAAACTTCCCTTTTAAAGTGCTTGCTTTACTATATTTAGTTCCATGTTCTTTCCTTTAGTGTCATAGCAAATATTGTGTTATTGATAAATCTCAGGAATGATAATTTTTCGCAAGAAAAATATTGTAAGGCATCTTAGTATTTATTTTTTATCTTTATTTATGAAGCTTGGTTAAATGACCATGTCACTTCGGTAGCCTTGGGCTTTTATATAGGTACATACAACATAAATAAATAAACCAAATCCACTCAAGATTTCTTTCTTTGAAGTTGAGATCAAACGAGCGTAATTTGCTTTGCGTTTGTGCATTTTACGCGACATACCTACCTAGTTTCATAAAAAATACTTTAGGCCTTATGAAGCCTGAAAATAAATAGGAACTCTACTTGAACATTTGGTTAAAAAAACGTGCTCTAAATTACACATATTTGCCTTCAGCGTAACAAAAGACATGCCAATAGTCAAACCATGAAAGTATCGGACTGGCCGACTTGAGATCCGAGGAATGCTTCTTCGAACCCCATCAGCCGGGCTAAGATGCGCACCGTGATAAAATCTTTTCAATGATTTTTGACGACAAACGTATGGGCTTATCGCGTAAATCGATAAAATGGCGCGTTAAAAGCTTATCGCGGCGCGCATCCTAGGCATAAAAATATTGTAGTGAACCCACTCGTAACACCATCATATTTAGCTTAGCTTAGGGGTTAAAAACACTTACTAGTTGGAGGGTGGTGAGGTGCTTCTTCCACCAGAGGTACTTCTGGTACTGAGGCCCCATCGCCGCCAGCATGTAGTAGGCGTACATGATGATGTGCACCAGGTTGTTGACTATGTTGGAGAAGGTTCCGTGACCGCCTTGAAAAACGAAATAAAGACATTAGCCACCTATAATAAGAATGATGATTGTATAAAAGAATAAGGGAGTAAAAATTAATTGCAATGCCTAACGCCCGTGTTCACAAACGATGCTTGCTTAACGGAAGCATCAATCGATCGCTCAGCGTTGAAAAGAGCTCTGTTATTGGTTCGTGTGTCACCCTGTGCATCCACGCGTACTGTGAGCCCTCATATTAATGTTTGTAAATACGGACAAAAAGAGAATTGAATCTTGAACTAGTGCTGAAGGTGATATTTATAACATCATTGAATGACGTATTTAGAATTTGGTATTCAGAAGATACTCCGCAAGAAGATCTGATGTAGAAGAGTAGACATACTGAACAATTGACTTCTTTCTTTTTCATCACTTATGATGCTTGGATGAATAGGAGGGACGAAGAATGAACTACCTTTAAAATACTTACTCATTGATTGGTCAAACAATTCTGGTCAGATGTGTTGGGGATGCCTGATATTCATATTATAAATTTCTCCTTTAGTTGCCTCTTATGACATCCACTGGAAGAGTGGGGGTGGTACACTAGAGATAGATGGAGGATTTGGTTTACACTCCTCATGCTAGTGCGTTGAAGAGGCCCAATGTAAGCAGATTCTTCGCTTAGTCTCCTCTCAAGATATTCTACTATGTTTCCTTACCAGCAATGAACTTGACCAGCAGCCACGCCTCAAAAGGCGTCAGCGAGTGGTGGTACAGATGCAGCCAGGTGATCTGGCTCTTCTTCTTGCGGAGGACGAAGAACACGGTGTCAGCGAACTCCGACAGCTTAGAGAAGTAGTACACCCAGCATAAGTGCAGCATCTGGTGGGGAAATAATGAGAGAATTAATTCAATGATGAGCAAGCCCCATAGGGATAGAGAGAGATGCCAACTAATGAGCTGAGTGCGAAACCCAGTGTCGCATTAGACATTCACGCACACAATGTAATCAAAATATGTGCTCATTATCCACTGCGGTATCAGTACTCAACGTTCGAATAATCTTCAGTACTACGCAAGCAATGTAAACTGTTTACATTATGACGTCGCTGCTGTCATAATTGCATTCACGAGAAATGTGTTCTGTTTTTGGGCATATTGCTGCGACGCCGGCCACGCCCCCTTGTCACATCCCTTTAATTTCTGTGATCTGTGGCAAGCCCTAACCTGTCTGGACAGCGTGGGAAGTGCAGGCCATATCTTCCGTTTGCCTAAGGTAAAATCGAGAGGGTCGTGCTCCTGAATGTGACAAATGATGATCAAGACAAACAATATGAAATATTTGTTGTCGCAGTAAACACAGTCATGATGTTTTGAAAGAGCATTTCATAAGTGATTTTCTATAACACGAATCAGGTGTAAAAATATCATTAAACATGAATATTATATTATGCCAATAACCAATAATAAAGCTTTAGTAATAAAAAAGAGAGTTTAGAGTCTAAGAGCATTCACTTAATGAACAAGACTGACTGACTATTTGATTCGGTTCGATCAATGGATAGATTTTTGAAAATTCATCATTAAATCGTTGCATATTCAGCTGATTAATAAAACGGCCTTAAATAAAAAACTTCTTGATTGTTATTTATTTATCTTTCTACCAACTTTCTTATTTTAAGTTCACCGCCAATAGCGAAAGATTCCCATGGAGAATGAGGATGTAGTTATCTAAATTCGCAAAGCTTTTGTATCGATCGAGAGAAAGTTGTTATTTCCTTATTGACATTTAAAAAAGGTTTGCCAATTCGAGTATATCACAACTTCATCATAACTAATAAGACACAAGTGTAAACACGTGCCTTTATGTATTTAGTCGTTACTGAAAGTAGTCACACCTAAGTTTTCAGCACGCTTTTCATTATTTTGTTTGCAATAGATAAAACGACATTACGAAAATTATAGTTGTTGTTTGTTACCTAAGCTACAGCTTCACATTCAGCTGTAGCTGAAGATTTATTTAGAAAATAAGCGTTTGTAGTATTTTTAATAGTATCCAGTTAATACCTTGGGAAAGACAGTTGAAAAATTAATAGAAAAGTAGAGTCATCATCATGATGATCAGTTCTTTTGTTATTCTATATTCATCTTCAATGAATTCTTCAATCGTTAAGTAAATGACATTTAGCTAAGGCTGCAGTTGGTGAACCAAGGTACCAGACTAATTTCTGACTCATTTATTTTTTATGTGATACTTATTATGTTCCCAAATTCATGGTCGTCACACACATTCCAAGCGCCAAGAGTCAAGATAAATCTAAATACCCATATGAGCTTTATAACCATGTTGACCGTGTGCTTATTAACCTACGCGATTCACAAAAATGTTTTTTAACACTCAAACATTAGGCAACTTTAATCAACCCGCTCAGTAGGTAAAGGTGAGCTCTTGACATGGTTGTATGTTCAATGAACTTGCCCGAGCGACTGAGTGAAAGTGTGGGTCATGCTTACGTCAGATTGAAAGTGAAACTGTCAAGTGTATTGATGCGGTCGGGATGATGTCAAGAGTATAGAGAGATGGTAAGCAGTTTACGTTTTAGGTGTTCCGTTGATTGATTGCGTTAAAATAGTTTCATTACAGTTTTCTGGTTGGGACTTGGGGTGCCGTGTTTAATGCGTCGATGACAAATGAATGTGAAATAGAAAGATGAGGATACGTAACTCTGTATTGAGTTTATTGACTCGGCTCCATACAAGCATTGTTTGGTTGGGCATTTCTTTGTTAAAGTAAGGGGTTTTCCGAGTTCGCATTCCAAGATGTTGTGAGAATCAAAGGCTTAATAAAAATATTATCACAGTTATTTCAACTAAATCCGAAAAAGGATAAAGAACTGAGTAAGTGCCTATCTTCCAGTGGGTTTTACGATTGTAACTTTCATTTTATTCCCATACTGCATATTAAATCATCCCAACGTCGTTGCTCAACCGATGAGTTTAAACATTTTCCTTAAACGTCAACGGGTGAAATTACAAGTTCCAATAAGTATAGCCGCGGTAAAAGCTTGTATTATGTGTGTAACAGCGTTTAACCTCATACCTGCTTTGTCCAAAAGTAAAGACATAGGCAGTTAAATCTTTTAACTTTCGACGCAATTAAAATGTAAGTATCATTTGCATCAGGCAGATGTGTGCTATTATTTTTAACGACAATCAGGCATACTTTATTTAACATTAAGATTTTAAGATGTTAATTGATTTAAGTATCCTTTACTTCGGTAATTACATGCCCAACAAGATGTTACGATACCATGTTGATTGGACACCTTTTCAGTAGGTATCATTGTTTATGTACACTTAGTTAATAAGTTAAGTATAGTGTAATGATACTGAATAAATACTTTTTCTTTCATTCTTTTTCAATATCTTATTCCGAAACCAAGAAAATTCTATGTTAATTGCACACAACTGAATTTATTAGAAGCTTAAAGCTGCTGTCTTTGATCTGCAGCCTTTTAAGCTGCTATCAATCTAACTAAACATACAAAAGCCTACTTTGTCAGAACGAAAACGAAAATATGCGACCCCGCCTTTTTGTCGATGTCGTCGAATGTCATTTCTCTTCAAGTTCGAAAGTTATGGGCAAGCTCGGTTCCGTTTTGAACTTGACTGGGATTGTATTGTCTAAATATAAGTGTATATTTATCTATACTTATAATAAATCTGTAGAGAGGTCAATTCTGTACATGAAATATATTTTCAAAATAACTATCAGGGGGTGATTAGTGATTAGTGATCGATACTGATGCCAAAAATGCAATCAGTAAAATTTTTGTCTGTCTGTCTGTCTGTCTGTCTGTCTGTCTGTATGTTCCTTATAGAAACAAAAAGTACTCGACGGATTTAAACGAAACTTGGTACAATTATTCTTCATACTCCTGGGCAGGTTATAGTATACTTAGGAATTCCCACGGAAACGGGAATTAGCGGGAAAATCCTTTTGTATGAAAAATCTAAACCGCTTAAGTTAGACGCTTGAAATTTGGCATGCAGGTACCTTAGTAATCTTAAAGCTTAGTTACAACAGGATATTACAACATTCTCACGAGAACGGGAGTTAGCGGGAAAAAACATTTGTACGAAAAAATCTAAACCGCGTAAGATAGATGAAGGGAGTAAAACGGGATCCACGCGTACGAAGTCGCGGGCGGCCGCTAGTTGGGAATAATATTCTTTATGTCTCGATATCATCATAGATCTCTGTGTGGTGTTATAAACAAGCATCTCCATTTGAAGATTTTTGGAGTACCTACCCTGAATTTTTAGAGTAGTATGCCACTATGTTAAACACTAACTTTACCCCACACGAATAAATGTACACGATAATTTTTCAGCTTGTTATTTATTCTCGTTGAATATTATCAAATCAATCCATAGATCCCAAACAACAAGAGACAGATCTTCGAAAAGCTTTTAAGTAGGTATTTAACGAGGAAAGCGGTTTTATCTTTAAATCACGTTGAAAACAATAACGAAAGTATTCAAAGAACCGCAGTGTGGGAAGATATTTCGTGGACGTTTAGTATACACGTGTAAGAAAATATTTTTATAATTATTATAATATTATATTAGCGTTTGTAAATTGTTTGGAAGTTTTTCAGCGCCATCCAGGAGATGATCTTGTCCTTTAAAAAGGAATTACAGAGTTTTATTATGTAACACATACCATTTCATCGCAAAATACATTATTTGTAGATGCATAATGCCCGTTTTCACTATCAAGCCCTATTTTTTTTCATAGGTTTCAAAATTAGCAATGCTTTTTTTAATAAAACATTTATCACAGCTCTACCAATACGTTCATATCTAATATGTAAAACCCTTGACTTTTTCGAAAGACAAACAAAATGTTGTATCTAGGACGTTGTGCCATGAGACAACGGAACTGTCACCACACGTTGGAAAGTGGTTGAAGTGTGCCGTGGAGGCTGTGCCGTTCTGAACTTGGCCACAGAGTATGGTAGTACAGATGCGACATGTTACATTATGGTATTTTACAAAGATTTGCTAAAATACTTTCATTATCTTTAATGTTCACAATAAAACATTTTTGAAAAAACCTGAAGTAAAGCCAGGTATATACCTAATATTATTTTTGGGAAATTGCTTCCTAAAATATAAAGGAAAGTCTTTATATTTGGATACACGCTGTAATACAGAAAACTGTTCGATAAGTTTAACGTAGTTATTTTTCCCAATAAACTACACAATGTTTTGCTAAGAACTCTTGGGCCTTATGTCGGTAGTTTTAGTTACGATTTTGCAATAAAAATCAATTTTGTTATGCAAAACCCATTCTGTATCACTGCAAAAACGAATTAGTTACTGTTACTCAACCCAAGAGTACCGTTACAAATAATAATGCATATCAATGCGCGAATCCCTCAATTAAAGTTAAAGTTAAAGAATTCCGTTTTAATGAGTTAAAACATTCATAACAATTTAAAACCACGAGTCACTTACAGTGCACGTGAAAGTCGGCAATTTTGTGGTTATTAGGTAAAATACTCGTACTCTTATTTTATGTTATGTAATGTCTGTGTAACATCATCTTTGATAGTTATCTCCAAGACTATGGCTATACTCGCTTTCTAAGCATATACATAATAGTAAAACATGATGTTGGTATTCGTTCGTCGATACTATCTTAAACTAACAATAGCAAATGGGCAATTGGAATTATACGAACGTTTTGTTCGTTCCATTGAATCAAATAAATTCCACGATGAATGAAGACAATCATTATACATTAAGGTACTTTATATTAAGTACAGGTTAAGTTATAAATAAATCTGTTTCTCTGACTTTTTGCAAGCATACAATTTACATTATTTTCACGTTGTAATTTACTGTCTTTTCGTACGAGACGGCTGGGTACTTAATGTTTTTATCAGTCCGGTTGAGGTAGAAAATGAAAGGGAATGTGCAAGGGTGTGTACTGTGTCTAAGTGGTCAATCATGAGAATGAAAATGGATGTCATTAAGATTAAATTATATGGGTTATTTGCATAAGAAAACAAGCTAGAGATTTGAGAAAAATGCTAATGATACACATAGTTTTATGTGACATTTTACCTTATGTAGAAAAGGGCGAAAGTGGTATGGTATCGTGTTCGCGCATAATTAGTACAGACAGCATCAGCAGCATAGCAAGCTAAAAAGTATAGCAACTTAATGTGATTGTATTAAGGACCATTTTGCCAAATCACTATCACTACATAGTATAAAACAATGTCGCTTTCCGCTGACTGTCCTTTTCTATAGATATTAAAAATACGCAATGGTTTTAATGCGGTTTTTCTTATTGGAAAGAGTGATTTAAGACGAAGGTTTATATGTATACTTAGCACCCGTGCGAAGCCGGGGCGTGTCACTAGTGATAGATAAGTTTGATGTGCTCTCGACTATTGAATTGACTATGCTCCTAGTGATGTGAATAACTATCTTTGATTGCAAATAAAACTAGCGTTGAGATTACTTATGATAGTTCAATCACTGTTTAAATAATATGGCGGGACATAGAGTCAGACACCGGGGTCATGACCTTAGTTGTTACAACAGACGCTATAGAAAAATACTTTCTTTTTTGTAATCTAGACTGACTAAGTAGGTATATCTAGCCTGATAGATTGTGTATTCAACTACAATGGACAACAAAAATTGCAAGATCAAATCTCTCTTTGAAAAAATAATTAGTGAAATGAGCATGACATTAGCAAAAAGGTACATAGAATCGCCAGAAAAGAGAATACGAAGGAAAATTTGAAGTGTCAATGTGACAGCTGTCAACTTACCCGCCGCGCTTGGTCACTTTCACTGTAGTCCACTGGCTGACAGGAGATGCTGTAGTCGCCCCACCATCCTGACATTAGGTGCTGTGGACAAAACAAAAGTCAGTTTTAGAAGCTGTTGTTTTCTTAAGTAGGTACATAACAAACTCACTCAGTGATGTGTGAAAATCTGTCTTAGCTTATACTCGTACTAATGCTTGTTGCAAACTAAGAACTGACGCAGGTTTCCATAGTTTTGTGCAGATCGCAACCTATGCAAACACTATGGGAAACTACGTCAGTTATGCGAGCTAAAAAACTCATGTATTTATGCAAGCAGGTTTTAAAAACACTTTTACACATCCCAGTAAAGGAAACTCACTTAGCTTGGTTCTTGGTCAGCAACTGACATAAGAATCGAAGCATAATGCTGATTGAACAACTTTCATGGAATTAGGATTAAAGCAAAAAATTTTAGCATTACAAAAAAAAATACAATCACTTTGAATGTGATTTTGGACTTTGAGCTACATCTTGGTCGCATGTTTATTTGAATTTATGATAGTCTACTAGATGGATCCCCTTTATCTTCAATGCACAACATTTAAAAACTATAATTAAAATTATAAAAGTTGTACCGACACAATTTATGCGGTATTAATGTATTGTTACAAGATAATATCTTAAAACACTACAAATTAAGCAGTCCCGCCCAACTGATTTATGAATGAACCTTTAAACTGTAGTTTGCATTGTAGACTAAGAGCTGGTGAACGCCAGACCTACGTCATTTTATAAAAGCGGAAAGTTTGTCAGCGTATGCTCCCAATATAGGATAGAATGTTGGTGAATCATGAAGTTTAGGTCATCGTGGCTTTGGCAGCTATCCTAAAAAAACTATCTGGCAAGGAGTTGGAACTGTCAAAACTGTTTGGCTGATGTGGAAACAACTTCTAATCATTGTCCAAATATTATACATAACAATCAGATTTTATGGTATAACGTAAGTAGAATTACAGTCTATTGAATATACAGAAAAAGCCACCGTAAAAGTTAGGCTTACGTTATACCATAAAAGCTGATTTTTATATAAAATATTAAGGCAATAATTTAGAAGTAGTTTCCTCATCAGCCAGACAGTTTTGACAGTTCCAACTCCTTGCCAGACAGTTTTTTAGGATAGCTGCCAAAATCACGATGACCCAAACTTCATGATTCACCAACATTCTATCCTATATTGGGAGCATACGCTGACAAACTTTCAGCTTTTATAAAATGACGTAGGTCAGGCGTTCACTAGCTCTTAGTCTATTGAGTTATGTTATTTGCTGACTTCATTTAATTGCATCGCAACACTGTAGAAGCACAGAAAACATATTTCGTTTAATTTTGACCATACAGTATAGGTCTTTATCCAGGGATTTCAAGTCAGTCAGGGAAAGTGGACATACTACTATCACTTCTTGCTACCATTCTGGGCAAAGATGGAACCAATTTAACTGTGGCTTATTTAAGTAGTTTTCAAAATAAGTTATTCTCCGGTGAATGCACATAGGTAATCGTATATCTTTTTGTTATTGAAAAGCTCAATATACTCGTAGTATAGAAGTTATTAGGCTAGTACACAATATTGATCAATACTGCATAGCCTCTAATCCAGTACATCAAGCGATAAACACTGTAACTTCTAAAAATAAAACGTATCAATATCTTATACAATTGTCTCATCAAGAACTTGAACTCTTAGGCTGAGTTGCACCATCTTGCTTTAACTTTAACAAACGTCAAAAATCAGTCAAATTTCATACAAAAGACACCGCTTAAAACTAGTTTAAATTGACATTAATTAATGCCTATCCAAAACTTCTAAGTTAACTAGTGTTAATTGGAAACCGATTTAATGTAAGTACGATAAGTGAATGATATTCGGAAGAAAGTGAAATGATTACGGAATGAAGAAAGTTGAATTGATTTGTTTACATTTCGGATTGTCATTGGAAAAAATTAAATACTGTAAGTACCTTCGGTCTATTTTATCTCTATTTACTCAATATATTTCGAATTTAACAGCTCTGAAAGTTGAAAGCAAATGATTGTCTATAGAGGGTGTGGTTTTGTAAAACAAAGCCAATCTCAGGGAATGTTAACTAAATATTACTTTAATAGTTTTTTTTTTTTATACTCCGGCTGACATTGCCGGAGTTCGGTTTCAGACAAAACAATTTGTTGAGTATTAAATCAATAATGTATTCTTTTTAGAGCAAGTGGTGGTAGTTTCTCGCTAATGTCTACGAGCAAACTTGTAGTCTCCATACTTTATAGACGTTTATTTTTATTTATGTACAAGGTTTTAAATTTACAAATGAACTTAACATTTTACAGCAGTTCTTTTCTTTTAGGTATATTATTATTATTATCTTTATTAATATTGGTTCTTAATTTTAAATATTTTTTTACAATGTAAATTATCAATTATTATTATGTTTGTACGCTTTGGAGCTCACGGGTCAAAAGTGGCCCGGTCCTTTATAAGGCTTGCGTGGGGATACAGATCCAACACGTAGAGGCCGTTTTAAGCGCAAAATAATCGACAAAAGTGAAAGTGGTGCACATGCTGGATCTAGTCTCTGACTATATCATGGGATATAGCCAGAGACCATCCCACAGTGTTTTTTTTGACCCGAAAAAGTGACATTCTGTTTTTATCACTAATATCCAAAGTTTAACTTATTATTAATGTTAGACTAAAACACCCAGGTGACAAATAGCTATAGATTATTTTAAAAAAAATATTTTAGAAAATTTATTTTGTACAGGGTCAAACTACAATTTTATTATTATTTAAAGAAACGTACACACTAAGCTTCTCTTTGTATTGCAGGTAGGTAGGTTGGTGTATGGCGAATATTATTGCACCTATAATTATTTAAAAGTAGTTATAGGAACGACAGCATGATTATTTTTTAAATTTAAGAAATTATTATTTTTCTCTTTTTCTACGCCGAAGTAGAATCTCTGCTTAGGTCAGATAAATGTCTTAAAATAAGCTGTATCACCTGAAATTTTTCTATATTCTAACTCGGCCGCAATTTCGAGAAAAAATATTTTTTCCAAAATGTTAGGATTGTCACAAAAAATGACCTTACGTAGTTCCACTTTCTTTAGGGTTCCGTGGCCAAAGGATGCTAACGGGACATAATGAATATTATGCAAATATAAATACCACTCCTGATGATCAAGNGGTGGATAATTAAGTAGTTTCCAAAATAAGTTATTCTCCGGTGAATGCACATAGGTAATCATATATCTTTTTGTTATTGAATAGCTCAATATACTCGTAGTTTAGAAGTTATTAGGCTAGTACATAATATTGACAAATAATGCATAGCCTCTAATTCAGTACATCAAGCGATAAGTACTGTAAATCTAAATATAATAACTCAAAGGTGACTGACTGACTGACTGACATAGTGATCTATCAACGCACAGCCCAAACCACTGGACGGATCGGGCTGAAATTTGGCATGCGAGTAGATGTTATGACGTAGGCATCCGCTAAGAAAGGATTTTAAGAAACTCCACCCTTAAGGGGGTAAAACGGGATCCACCCGTATGAAGTCGCGGGCGGCCGCTAGTTTAAGAAATAAAACGTATCAATCTCTTATACAATTGTCTCATCAAGAACTTGAACTCTTAGGCTGAGTTGCAACATCTTACTTTAACTTTAACAAACGTCAAAAATCTGTCAAACTCCATACAAAAAGCACCGGTTTTCGTTATAGTTACGATCAAACTTAGGTGGTGCAACTCAGCCTTACACTCTAATTAATAAAAAGTAACGTGCGCTTAAAACTAGTTTAAATTGACATTAATTAATGCCTATCCAAAATTTCTATGTTAACTAGTGTTAATTGGAAACCGATTTAATGTAAGTACGATAAGTGAATGATATTCGGAAGAAAGTGAAATGATTACGGAATGAAAGGTGAATTGGTTTGTTTACATTTCCGACTGTTTGTCATTGGAAAAATACTGTAAGTACCTTCGGTCTCTATTTATCTCTATTTACTCAATATATTTCAAATTTAACAGTCCTGAAAGTTGAAAGCAAATGATTACCAATGTATATTTAATGCTATGTTTGATATTTTATGAAAAGTATTCAGCCAACAGCACATCCGATTATTTAATGCAAAGTAGCACCTACCATGAATTACAACTGTTACAGTCAAAACTCATAATCGGTCAAAACCACTTTTGACTGCAAAAATCAGCCAAAAGTGGTTTTAACTGATACTCTGATGCGACCAAGGGCGTTAATCAAAATCACTTTTGAGTGCAAAAAATCAGTTAAAGGCGATTTCGCCTGATTTAAAATTTTACCAATCAGTCAAAATTCATACAAAGTGTATGTGTGAAGTGATTGTGACTTAAACGCGTTTGGTGATGATATTGACCAAGGACATCAGACAAAACTATTTTTGACTGATTTTTGCAGTCAAAAGTAGAGGTGGGCGCCACGCCGGCGCGCCGCCGCCGCCGCGAATTTTTTCACGCAGCCGCCACCGACGACCAGCTGTCGGCGCGCCGATACTGATACTGTACCAACTATTTGCAATTTATTCCTCTCCTATACTGTACTAATTTGTGTTTCGAACACAGAAGAACTATTTTTTAATTGAGTTGAGCGGCTATTCTAGTTCAATAAAGTCCTAGTATCACTACGACCGGTACCGATCTATTGTGATCGCCGCTATTTTCCTTACAATTCGTCTCCGAGTCCTGCATCCATAAGGAATTGCAGTATCTTTTGGGGGGCGATATGTTTTACATCTTGCGGGCTTAGGATGTGTTTGCCCAGGTGTAAGCTCCGCTTGCGCATCAAAGGTCCGCAGCTGTGAGAATGTGTAGTGGCGTTTCATCTGCCTCTTGGCACATCCTGCGCGTTCTTGATTCGGACAGTCCCATAGTGGACAAGTGCTTGTTTAAGCTGCAGTGTCCAGTGAGGGCTCGAACTAAGATGCGCATTTTGATCCTACTCAGTCCTATATTGCGCTATTTTTTTATTGCGCAAAACAAAACAAACAACAAAACTTGCGCGCAAA